GGGGGGGGGGTTGCATGAAGTGCAATTACAAATTGTTTTTGTGGCTGCGTCGAAGCCGCGCCTCGTCTTGTCTTAGGACGCGGCGCCGTGGGCGCGGCCGGCACTCAAAGGCCCATCTCAATGGGTACACCATTAAACGGCTAAAGTACAGACCTGTCTCCAAGCCCAAATGATGGAGCCCGATGACTAAAGCCAAAAGTTCTGGTCTGCCTGGGCCTGYTCAGCCCTCSAAGTGTCGCGGGGCATGGCCCGGGCTARGTCCTTCRGGGCATCCGTYGGGGCCRGAAWACTACAGAGGAGATTAGTAGGGCCCCTACGTAAGGGTGACGTAGGACAAAAACAAGATCCGGGGTGAACCCGGACGTGAATCGTGCCGGGCGCAGGCRGACAGCAGGCGGAGTGCCCTCTGGTGCTGCTGTGGGGGCATAGMCCCAACCAAGTCCTTCGGGACATCCGTTAAAATTGGAACGATACACAGAAGATTAGCATGGCCCCTGCGCAAGGACGGTACGGATATAGCGGAGGAAGCCCAACAGCCAGGCGCATTTTGCACTTTGGCATTCGACTGACTGTCGGACCGTACYGCGTTTGAGGCGCCGGGGTGACGTCAACSCGGCTGAGAGACGGAGTGATAGSRCAGCGGACGGGCGGCTGCTCCAGGGGGTGACGGACTAAGGAGAGCCGTCGGGGAGAGGGGGCAGCCACGAGGGTGAGAGGCGACGGGCAKCAGCAAGAGGGGGCGAATGAACCCGGGCTGGATCCGCGCCGGGTACATACRCGCAAAGGAGATGGGCAGCGCAGCGCAGTGGAACGATGGGGTGCTGAGGAGTGACCAGACCTAGACCAGCTTTCGCGCTGGGTACATCCACGGAAGAAGGGGCGGAGAGATGAATCAGCGGGCGCAGCAAAAAGGGGAATGAATGTGGACGGAGGGGCGCGCTAGGTGCATTCGGAGTTRGGAATGAAGGGAGCGAGGCTATGGCGGACGAAAGGATGCACATCGCGCTMGATTCTTGGTAGAATCGRGCGAAGTAAGAGTCYAGATAGGGGTTTTAGGGGTCGGYGAATCTAACTACGGCGTTAGTTTTAAGAGAAAGTCATCAGGGGAGRAGTTAGTATAAAAAACTGTTGCGCGGAGTGATGGCGGACAGAGAGATGRTGAGGGGGAGGACCGAGAATTGCACTCGATCCTTGATGGATCTATGTGAGTGAAGAGTCGGAGTTGAGGTTTTTGGGCAGGGCGATTCTGATGGCGCCKTTAGTTTTGGGAGTAGTTGAGTAAATTAGAAGTTAGTAAGAAAAAGCCTGCGCGGAGGCTATGGCAGGGGAAGAGATGTYGAGAATAGGAGATGAGTAGTTCGCCCGATTCTCGATAAAAACGRGCGAACCAAARCTCGATCTTGGGGTTTTCGACCACTGCGAGTAGAATGGTGGAGTTAGTTTGGGGGTTAGATCAATAGGATSAGAGKYAGTGGTAGTTATRGTTGCGTGGASATGGCRGAAGRGAGTGTAGGTGGGAGAAAGAAAGCGAGAAAAACCGCCCGATCCTTGATGGAAAACGGGCKGGGTGAGATCYTACTCGGGGGTTCTATGACGATGGCACGACCGAAATTGGGAACAAGGCKGTAGTTATAGCGKTGTKGGGGATATAGGCTACGTAAGGGAAGGCAATTCRAAGYTGGGAATKAATCCATCCRCACTTTTGCGGAAGATTCATTCGATTTTGARCTGCAGCTGYTATAGGAAGGTCGCATGTAGGCAGCGAGGAGGAGACTTACCTGTTAAACCCRCCGCAYCGCCCGTACGCGTAGTATGGATTTGAGCTGAGGAGTGGGTAMTCACTAGGCAGGTATGTAGTCGAATTCCGGGGAAGATCCATCCTGATTTCGCTCGGCTGCGCTGCTTATGCAGAAGGGAAGGTGTCGGAYAGACGTAGTTACCTGRCAGTACGTCTGTAAGRAGCAGCGGATGCAAGGTTCGAGAGTTCRRAGCTGCGCACGGATGGAAACCGGAAACGGGGATGCATCTGCCCACGGGTTGGCAGGAGATACATTCCTATTCTGTAKCRTGTMGGCAGTTCRAAGTTATATTCAAGGYCATCTACTGCTCTTTCGAACGGCGGTCTTCATCTTGMTGATCGCGGCTTCCCCGGTCCTGGTCCCTGCCCCGGAAAACCCCACCTAATASAGGTCCCCGCGTACTAAGSAGGCGAGTCGCCCTGGCCCGAGAAGCAACCGGGGGCGTTCGCAGATAAAGGATGGAATGGCGGGCGAGACAGAACAACAACAAAAAAGGGAGAAGGGGTGGCAGGAACTGATGAACGGCCRRGGTTACTCATGGTGTAAGTAGGAGGTGTATTGCCTTTGCTCGGTGTTRGGTGTGCGGACTGCCCCRCCTGTGCCTCTGTCACGGTCMTGCTGCCTGGGTTTCGTCTGCTTGCGTGTGAGCTCYCRCTGGTTACCGTACTTCGCTGGGTGTTACCCAGGGTCTGCTGCTGGTATACAGCCATACACTTGCTCCGCTTTTTCGCGTCCCGCTGTGGCACACAGTTGCGGTGCTCTGACGGGCCTCACACTGTGTATGCTACGGAGAGTTGACATTGGGCTTTGTTCGGACACGGCTGRCCAGAATTGCAAACGAGGYRGCGAGTCRGAAACGGCAACGAGATGGACAGCCAAGGCTAAGGAGTGAGGAACAAGCGGTAAGGCTGCAGTATTTTCTGTTTGTCCATTGYTGTGAACACTGCGGTCTACCTAGGTTGCTGTGTTGCGGTGGCAGCCGCTGGGCTACGGCTGCATTGCTGTACTTCCACTGAGCGYTGCGGCACAGTTCGTTGTGTGCCGCTACTTCGTTGAGGTGAAAGGACAAGTGTAGGCCATGCGAGTGCGGCCGTCTAGGCTGAATAGCAGTCATTCRGGCTTTGAGAAGGGAAGTAATGCTGCGAAGTGGGGGTTCGTCAGGAGAGTGAGGACGGTGGGTTGACTTCAGGTTGACCAAGCGGTTGCTATATGACTGTCATTGCGGGGCCCTCAGGCGCATGAAGATTACAAGGCCCTCTCTTGTAAGTCTGAGTGCACCCTTCTGAGAGTCTCACACTTTTCTCTCTCTATCTTTCTAAGTCTAAGTCTAGTCTACTGATTACGAGGGGAAGGCGGCAGGCGGGATTGCAACCCGTAGGTCCGCATCAAGACTCTGTGGGGAGTCCACCCACCGATTGCGGGAGCTCTGCCGGAAACTAGGCGAGGTTCTGGAGGCAGGGAACTTTCAGGTAAACCATTTTCATTTGTACAAACCTACTACTACCCATGTTTGCCTATCTCATTGTAGTATGATTGCGGTATGCATGTGTTGTCCCTATGGTTTTTGCTTTCTCTTCAGGACCTAATCAGATTGAATGGAAGG